CCAGAAAAATACAGTGATGTGTTCAAAGACCCAGAAAAATACAGTGATGTGTTCAAAGACCCAGAAAAATACAGTGATGTGTTCAAAGACCCAGAAAAATACAGTGATGTGTTCAAAGACCCAGAAAAATACAGTGATGTGTTCAAAGACCCAGAAAAATACAGTGATGTGTTCAAAGACCCAGAAAAATACAGTGATGTGTTCAAAGACCCAGAAAAATACAGTGATGTGTTCAAAGACCCAGAAAAATACAGTGATGTGTTCAAAGACCCAGAAAAATACAGTGATGTGTTCAAAGACCCAGAAAAATACAGCGATATGTTCAAAGACCCAGAAAGGAGACAGCGATGTGTTCAAAGACCCAGAAAGGAGACAGCGATGTGTTCAAAGACCCAGAAAGGAGACAGCGATGTGTTCAAAGACCCAGAAAGGAGACAGCTGTAAATGAGAGCTGCTGATTTGTCAGACACATTTATTTTAATTTGAAGTCTCATCAACACAGACTGCTTCATTCACTTCCTCCTCTGCTGGATGCTAACATCACTAGCAGACACTGAGCAGAACGTAGACCTTCTGTTCTCTGATTGGACTGAATGAAACTTCTCCTGAAGACATCCCTGTCTACAGGAGAAGTCCCAGACAGTCAGTGAAGGAAACTAGAATTGAGTGGAGCTGTAGAAGACATGGTCCAGGCTCGTCTCAGGTGCATGATGGGAAGTTTAGAWGTGACCTCTGGTCTGAGGGGCCTGATGGGAGAAGAACTGTAGTGTGAAGGTTAGCTGAGCGGTGCATGGCCTGTGACGTGCTCGGAGACGGCAGTGATGGAGCTAATGACTAGTGTCTCATCAAAGCAAGCTATAATCATATAAATGAAACCTGGAGCGGGTCTGGGTGGTTCTGACAGCGACCCGTTAGTCAGCCCTTCCAGAATAGAACTCCGCTCAGCGGGGTGTAATTATTCTGACCACAGGCTGCCGCTCTTCTTCTCTGGTGCACGCTCAGCTCAGACCGAGGCTGTGTTTAGGAGGAACTGTGTCTCAGAGGCACAGAGAGGAGTTCAAGCAGGTGGACGTGGCTCCGCCCCTTACCTTCTATCGGACAGAAGCGCGGGACTTTCTCGGGCATCAGAACCTTGTCCTTGTGTTTGCAGTAGACCTCTACGATCTGCTGCCGACACTCACGGCTCTGGGATCTGGACAGGGCTGAGATGGCCTCCTTCCCACTGAGCTCACACTGAAGCTGCTCCGGTTTGGACTCTGGACTGGGTGGCAGCGCAGGGGAAGCTGGTCTCCTGGTCTGGTAGAACGGGGGGTCTTGGTTGGAGCCCTGGGCCGGTCCTGGGGGGGTCGGTATCTGGGACCGGCTCTTATGGGTGTGGTTGTGACTTTGTGGCGTGACTGGAGCCGGCCTGAGGACCTGGTTTCCCAACATTGTCTGGGTCTTATCCAGTTTTCTCTGGACATTCTGGACCGGGCCTCTCTGGTGCTGAGACCGGGCTCCCAGGATGCTGTTGCTGTCGAAGTCTTTGGGGACAGAGTTCTCGTTGTTGTTGCTGTCCAGGTGGGCTTTGTCTTTGGGTCCATGGGACTGGTACACATCCTGGAAGAACAAAACAAACGTATTAAATATGATAACGTTTGGATCGGAACCTTTACCAGTGTGGTCTGAATGAGACCACCTGTCCCTCCAACAAGTACCTGCTGTGCTCTGAAACCTGCAGA